CAACTGAATATTATTATGTATTTATTAGGCTACAAAAAAAAAAATAAAAAAAAAAAAATTGTTAAAAACCCTGAAAATAAAAAGTAGAGACCAGATAAAATACACACATATCTATTTACATATACATTTATAAAAGAGATTAATCACACAAAACCATATAATCAATGCCAAAGAACAGAAGAATTTAGATAATAAACCGTAGTTCTCAGACACGTCTGAGTGAGAAAAGTGCTGGCATTAGGACTGTGCTCTGATGCCATCATTGAACCCCAGGGCACCTCTATCAGTTATGTCTATACAAGTGCTCAATTATGGGAGATGCTAACAACTACGGAAAAAACAAGCGAAGCAATTCGTACTAAATTGACTGAAAACTAGAGTTCTTCTATATCCCATGGGAACTGACCCAAACTTCAGAGATTGCAAAAAAATAATAAAATATGTTTATGAAACCTAAATAGTCAAGCTGTCGCCTTATTAACAGATCCAGGGATCAATAGATGATTATTAAACTTGCTGATCTAGCATCCAGAGAATATCCATAAAATTCTCACCTATGTTCTGTGAAGAAAAAAAAAAATAAATTACTTACTTGAACTTTTGTCGAGATTGAGCTGCTCTTCTTTGGGAAGCTACTGTCCATGCCATATTCTCCAAAGAAATTGGATGACTTCGGAGGTACGACATGGCTGACACGTGAACCCCCAGAGCTCATCTCAGTAGGTTGGTCATTGTCTGTGTACTCAAATCTAGACGTAAACGATGAACCAACTGCAGCTGTGCTACTCAATGAAGAATTTGCAGGAGAAACTTGTACAGGAAGGTCCTCCGGCTTCTGGTCATAAAGGCTTTCACTAGGCTGCAATGACATTGAAAATTTATATATAGCAAATGCACATCAATAGGATAGACTCTACAGATACATTTTTTTTTTTTTTTTTTAATATGAGAATTCACTTGTAAATGAAAAAAATAAGAATTAAAAAGATGTGATTCACCTTGGTAGTCAGCTTCCTAGCACCTAGGCCTCCGGTCTTCCCAGTTTTCTTTGCACCAAGAGCTTTCTTCACAGTAATTGACCCAACAGTCGGAGAGGCTCTTGGAGAAGAAGAAACCTCAGGGATCACAGTTTTGGGAGCAAAAGTTTCCTTTGGGACGTCGTTTAGAGGACTTCCCTTTGGATCTTCAGTGAAGTTGATATCAGAAAATCCATTAGACCTTGGTGACTGGGAAGCAACGGGTGACAAAGGTAAATTAGCATCCTTTACATTGCTTTTAGCAACTTCTTTCGAGAGTAATTGTCGGTATAACTCAGCAGCTCTTGAGGTATATTTGGCCTCAATCTTGCCTCCGTCGGTCCATCCATGCTGTTTGAAGAAAACATGAGCTCGGTTATTTCCACCAAAGCACATCATTTTCAACTGCTCCGGAGTCCATGAATCCATATTTGTTGACCTACAGTTTAAGAACTTGCTCAGCAGAATGAAAAAGTAACAGCCAAATCAACCAATTGATTTGGTTTTTTCAAAGTAGCCACAACCCAATCTAATGCCAGGCTACGAAAGCTATCCTTATGCTGCGGACCCAGGTGCACACTTGGACCTTATCTATGGATACATCACATTAAAAATAAATATAATTCAGTAAACTTATACATTGCGTAATTAAGAAATATACATCAACCTATAAATACATTATATATTAACTAAAAATATATGACCCTCAGACTTCTGCACACAATGCCGGGTGCACCTTGGTCCCATATAATTGACCCTACAAGAATTTACTGGTATGAGAAAGACTTGTTTCTGCATTGTCGTACACATGGTATCTCATAATTCTTTTGCCATAATATCCTTCTTTTAGAGCATGTCTCCTTCTTAGCTGCCAACACTCAAGCTATACTATATTCCTTGCCATGCACATTTGTGTGTTCCTTTTCCTTGAACTTTTCGGCGTTTATCCTATTCTTTCTCAATTAATTTTTAAGAATTCACTATTATTATATATGTATATATAAATAATTCAAAGTTATTAGTCTGTGCTAGACAGTCCAAACAAGCTTCAGTTATGATTACTATTCACCGTCCCATTTCTGAACCCACTCAGTGTCCAAAATCTTTATATTTCAATTTTCTTTGTAGGCTTCTGCAGCATCATTCCACAAGTGGCAACGCGGAAATATCTTCCCTTGGAAGTTTTGTCACAATCCGCAATAGAATTTTACCTCCACGAAGTCGCGATATCTTAGCATGATGTCAGACAAAAACTCTAGAGTTTACCTAACATAGACAACTGGATTTTACTTTGAGCCATTTTAACCCGTTACATAACTTTCGATTTACTTTTCTATTATTCGAACATCCTGCTCAGAAGGCCTCTAACTTCAGTCCAAACTTTAAACACCAGTTAAACCTGTGTTATCTAGCTTTTCCGAAACACCAATATTTATTTATTTTCACTTTCTCGATCAAATTCCACCATTAATACAGCAGCCACAGCTTTCTCTCTATCCCTCATTTCAGTCGTCTAAGAATAGCCACAATTTCGAAGAATATTCAATTACAGTGTCCACATGGTATTGGTAAAAAATAAATGTTAAAACCCGGGCCTATATGACCGATCAATAGAAAGACTCTACCCTTGTCATATATTTCATACATCACACTAGATAGATATCCTATTCATGGAATAGGATGATCTGGTTCGATTCATGGTCGCATCCAGGTTTTGAAGAATCTCGACCGGTATCGAAGGATGCTTGAAAAGGCAGCTTTCAGCAAGTCAATTACAACACACAGATCAGTAGCATGATTGCATTCTTGATACCCATCTTGTAGACATTTCAAAGTTGTTTGGTGCAAAGACTCCTGACAGCATTTAGTCCCCGAAATGATACCTCTTGGATCCTAAAGTTTATACTACACGACATAACATACGAATTCGGGTACATAACGTTTTCGTCTGACTCACAAAAAGTGCTTAATTTAGATTGATAAGGGCTAAATTCTTTTCACCTCCTAATGCATCTTTCCTTTTTATCCTACTTGAAACTCTGAATATGCGCCTTTGTACTGTTCAATTCATAATATTAAACTATTTCTCATTTTCATAATTCATGTTCAATTCCTACATGTTCAATCTTTCAATCTTTCATGAGAAAACCAACGATCACCAGGAAAGGAATCCATATATTATTCATCTTCAAGCTGATATATTAACAGTTTCCAACGATTGAAAATTTTTCACGCAAAAGCATTTTCTGCCCCATAAAATACAGGAAAAGGCATAAACAAAACATAATGCATCACCAACTCTGCCATAAAAGCATAACACTAAAACCTTGTTCATAAACACTAATTTTAGAAAGAACAGGAGTTCATAATGAGTTCACTGCTCGCCTTTTTTCACAAGAAAACAGCAAAAATAGAAAATGACTAATATCCATCAATGGGAACAAAGCCACCAACATTTTCAATATCAATATACTTGAACTATTGTACTTATAAGATGATGGTGGGCAGATGCTACATTAAAGTATTAAACAATTACAAGTTACTTGAAACCTAATCTGGTTATCAAATAAATAATTTCTCCAACATTTGATAAATCAATAGTCTATTTTTACACAATGCTCATCTTAAAATCTCATTACCAAAATATCTGGCTTTCCGCTTAATGATTGCTCTCAAGATCATAAGTTGCACATATCTTAATACTAAATATATTCCCTTCAGAATCACTGACACAGCTGGTGAAACAAAATGAAGAAATACGCCAACAAATAATACAATTTTAAAGAATTTACCAACAACACACGAGAATTATTAAGCTCAAAAGGTAGAAAGTTACAAACTTTTCTAGCAGGCAACATCAGATGAATCTCCTGTCCCACCATACTAGACAAGCTACCCATTAATAAAGTAGTATTTTTCGGGACTGCATAGCTACATTACGATTAAGGACAGCTTCTATACAAGATAGCAAGACCCCCAGCTAGAACAAACACTATTCTAAAATCTTGAGGTGGAACAGATGCCCATTCAGATCATAAACAATTGCTCCTTATGAAGTTTCGCATAACTGTTCGAATAATTCGGCCTGCAATTTTAATTTCAAATGCTCACTCATTTAAATAATTTTATATAGACATAGAGCCTATGCTGCTTTCCTGGATTCAGATACTACAGCCAGAATTGAAAGCTCACAACTCCCAACAACACAGCCGTCAGTCCAACAAAATTACAACAATATGCTTAAATGCTGAAACGCAAGAATCACAATCCCATGATCAAACAGATACCCAGCAGCTAATCCAACAAAAATCCCACAAAAATCAAATCGTAAATAATAATTACCTAACAAAGCTGATGTGCACCCCAAGACTTCGGTGAACCCCCGAACAATCGATACACAGGAAGATCCCATACGTCACAGACGCCCAGGTCGGATTTTTGCCATTGCAATCGAAACACATCTGAATCCAAAACATCAATTTCACGATAAGAACCCAACCCAGAAAAAAATTTACACAGATCTGAACCGGATCTCGACAATGCCCGCAAATATCGACTATTCCATGCACAAAAAAGCAAAACAAGAAACCCGAATCACCTTATTCTCGGGCTTCGATCTGAGCTTGCGGAAAACAGCGTTTCTGTCGGTGTAACTGTCGGACGCCATGGTTGTATACTACCCAAAAAAAAAAAAAAAAAAAAAAATCTAAATGAAACTGTGTGTATTCTTGAGAGGAATAAAGAAACGCAGTGATGAGCGAGATTTGAAAGAGAGGGCGGACCCAGACCATCTGCGGCGAGGAGTCGGGACTCAGGAGCGTGATATTAATTTTTTTGGATGACGAAAAAGGCCTCATGCGGCAGGGGTATTACCGTCAGTTCAGGTGACGACGTAGCTGTTGGCTTGCCATTAACAACACCTATGCTTGCATTTGAAGAAGCGGGTAAAGCTAAAGCAATATTAGGTGTTGGGTGATGAATTTTGGCACTCTTTTGAAGCTATGATGAGATGTATTTGATATACAAATTGCCTCAAGGACCGGGATTTAGACCGGCACCATCATAAACCGTCTTTCTCCTTAAAGCTTAGATAATGGTACACTACGCCCGCATTTACTTTGGATGGGATGGATCAAAATAATCCTGGCACCTTTACAGCTCAGCATTTATTCTGTTGTTTACTTTGTGAGATAGAATTTTGATAAAAGAATCTCTCATTTACTTTATATGATTAATTGACATGGTCCAACATTAAAATACTACTTTACCCCTCTTTTCTCCCTTTACATGTGCAGTTCCTCTTTCTTGCCCTAATTCATCGGGGAACATAATCGCGCCCGTCGAAGAGAAGCTAGGTCTGGACGAAAACCCTAATTTCGAGGACGACGAGGGCACCGACGAGTCGTGTTCGGACATCAACTACGTGATTCGGAGGACGACGAGGTGTTAGCCCAAAAATCGGTTACGAGTGTGGGATACCTGCGATGTTCGAAACCTAATTCGACGAGCACGAGTGAAATTGGATTTCTGGGCTTCTATTAGGTATTATAATTATGTTGATATTATTCGAATAAGTATGAGACGGAGAAGACAAAAAATTTAGATTTTTCGGAAACAAAAAATGAAAGGGAAATTCGAAATTACTTGGAAATAGGGTTGAGACGGAGAAGACAATGTGTGAGTGCTCCTCTGTAAAATTCTGATGCAAAAACTAGGGCAAAAATGAAGAGATCGGCTTATTTATGTGGGATATAAATGTAAATAGCTGGAGTCCTTTCAAAGTGATGGCAAAACCGTCCACTAGCGATCGGGAATAAAAAATCCCGTGGGGGAGGCGGGACAAATATAATCGACGAAAAATAGATTAGCCTGTGGGACCCATAGCCACATGGACGTCACATCACTACAATCATGTCCCAATCTCGTTATGTAAACATGGGATATTAGGGGAATCCCTTCCTGTCCATCAAAGTAAACGCGCCCTACAAAGCACGTTGAGGAGGGGTCTAGACAAAAAAAACCACCGATGCTCAAGCCAAATCTCGCTCTTAGACTATGTAAATTGTAGCTTAAAGACTAATATTGCATTAATCCCAAATAAAACCTAATGACCTCCTTTTACAAAAAATAGAATTTACATACCTTATATTTTATCACGAACCTACACTAACCTAGAGCTTTGATGACATGCAATATGTCAGGAGCTGTCCCGACGAAAAAGCCTCAGACGGTGAAATCAGTGTGTGTTTGTGATAAAATCGAGAGTATGTATTATTGTACACGTATCTGTCTCGTGTAAAGTAAATAACTTGGATACCCATATATACGTAGGGTAACTTGATGACCAAGAGAGTCCTAAATAGAAAAGAGATCATCTCGTATCCACTTTCCTAACTAGCAAGATCTCCTGAAACTAAGAGGCCTTAACAATATATATTTTCCATCCATGAAGGATTCTCTCCCAGCCTATTGCATGGCTCCTATGTCTAAAGGTCATAAGCCTGAACCCCCTACCTACCTGTTGTAAGTCCTATCTAGGTAGTAACCACAACCCCAACTCTGATGACCTACAAGCCATGAGGTCTCTTCGAGCTTCTTAGGTTTCTCAACCTTCGAGCTCAATAGGTCTCTGACATCCAAGCTTCTTAGGCCTTCCGACCTTCAAGCTACCTGAACTATGCTAGCTTGGTCTCTTGAACCGTCTACGATCGGGCTATCCAACCAGGCCGGTTCACCGAGCTATTTTATGTGTTATATCATCTAGCTCCTTCTATTCTTGAATGAGCTACCCATACTTGTTCAAGAATGCTCTCTACGCGTCCACACCTGATGCGCCAATCTTAAGTGTTGCAACACGCGTAACATAGATACCCGCGCCTGCCAGAAATGTTTTCAAATACCCATTACACGCTCTCTTAGTCTACATCGTAGATCCGTTTTTTAAATTAACGCTTCAGATATTCTGATAACGGAGCCATCATATCCATTTCCTTTGGTTGATCTAGACCACCCAAACACTTTTTATATAGTGACTCACCTATGACTTCGACCTTTGCAATTCTTCTCTACCCTATAAAAGTTGTGCAGATCCATCTACTTCAGTTTCTTCACCTTCTTTCCACTCAAAAACTTACCTAGCAAGAAATACTCCGGTAACCTCCATAATTTTTTGGCAATTTTATCAATTCTCAGACCCTTTCTCTTTCAACCACCATGTCGAATTTCATTGGTACGTTCTTCTAAACTTTTCACCGTTTTTTCTCATTTGATCCCTTTTTAATTTTATTCTAATATTCTGGCGACCGCCCCTCTTTTCCAGAGCTCTAGATTCATGGCCATGTCGAATTCTAACAATACCTCATCCTCAACCTCTCAACCCATAGGAAAACCTTATTTAACCTTAGCCCTTTCTCTTTCTCCCTGCTAAGCCGACCAGGTCACCGTGGTTGCTCGCATAAAAGCCAAAGCTTAGTCCCCTTTGATGAGGGTGGTCAGACCCAACCCAATCACCTCATATTCAAATTGACTGTATTTCTAACCTTATCCATATGATCGAGCAGGCCCGGCCTTGGGCCATGGCAAGCTGGGAGATGGCCCAGGGCCCATTTACAAAGTGGGGCCTCATTTATGTTCATAAATAAATTACTATTATAATTTATTAAAAAATACTTTTATAATGTCCAAGAATACAATGCCCCTAATGCGCTCCGCTTCTCTCAGTAAATTGAACTTGAATTGAAGTGACAAAAATTAACTTGTAATTTTCTTGACCAGGACTAATATAATGCCCTCCAATGGGCCCCTTCTCTCTCAATAAGTTGAATTGAAAGTTTTATTTCTTACTCACTCTTGCATTTTGACAATTTAGACTTCTTTTTTTTACTTCCCATTGAATTTAATAATAATAATAATAATAATAATAATAATAATAATAATAATAATAATAATAATAATAATAATAACTGATTATTGAATATACAAGATTATTTTGCTCATTTTGGCTCTTGTTCTCCTTTTGTCATTCTTGACTTTTTATAGCTTAAATTATGAGCATCATTTCTATTTAATTTCAAGAGCACCCGCAATCAAGTTGGGTTTCAATTTCCATTTATAATCCTTTTTGGGGGTTCGTCTGACAAACGGAAAGTTAGCCAAGTCAAATGAAACGACAAAGGACGATGAATGATGCTATTTTGATGAAACTTGGTTGGAAGTTTCTCACTAACCAGAGCACACTTTGGGTCTGGGTATGGAAAGCGAAATATAGAAACAATCCTTTCATTATTACTTCTGCCCATCCATCGAGGCTCCACTTTGGCGGTACTGCATTCGGTGAGAAAAGTGAGGCATAATGTTGTTGTCGGGGCCCGGTGGGCCGTATGGGATGGTCGTACGACCAAGTTTTGTACAGATAGATAGCTTCCGTCGGGTGTCATTTTGATTTCCGTTGCTACAGCAGTGGTTCATACAAACTTACATGTCCAGCCCGTCCATTTCTTTATCTCGGCTAGGGGAGAGTGACGATGGGATCTTTTCTCTTATCTGATTCTGATTTCTATGTTGCTCTAGATTGCAGCCATTTCGGTGCCAAGATCGGAGTGGGGTCGGGATCGCCTATTTTGGGGACATGTTCCACCGGAAAATTCTTTACCAAGTCTGCGTATGAAATGTTAGTTAAAGACGGTCCTTTGGGTTTCTGACCTTTATGGAGAGCGATATGGCAATGGTCGGGCCATCAATGTATAAGGACCTTTCTATGGTTGCTTACGAAAAATTGACTCCTTACTAATGCGGAGAGGAGCTGATGGCACTTGACGGACTCTACCCTATGCGTGAAGTGCGACCATACCGAGGAGACGGCGGTGCTTTTTGTCCGCGATTGTCCACTGGCAACAGATATTTGGCATCGGATTTTTCCAGGTACGTTGCCTGCATAATGTTTTATGTTGCCGCTAGAACCGTCCTAGTGCACCGGAGGGCTGGGAACGTACTTTTGGGGTTGTAGTGTGGAAGCTTTGGAAGTGGCAGAATGATTTAATCTTTCAAGGACGAGGGATGTGAAGATGTGTCTGCGTGAAATTCACACCTATATTGACGGGCCGACGAAGATTCTAAACGGAGCTAAAAAGCTCGGGGGGACGGGCCGACTACGAGTTCCTCGATGGATTCAATGGGAGAGGACTTTGCCAAGATGGGTTAAAGTGAATTTCGATGGCTCTTATAATGGTTGTCGGGCTTAGGTTGTGCCGCCGACCTTATACGTAACGAACACGGAAGGTGGTTAGGGGGATATACAATGACAATAGGCTTTTGTTCGATAATGGCGGCGGAGTTGTGGGGGCTCTTTCGGGGTCTTTGCTTGGCTTGGGATATGGACTTTCGGCAAGTGGAGGCAGAAGTTGATAAGGCGAGTGTTGTGGGGTTTTCTGAATCTTTGGGTGATGTACCGGGGGTGCACACGAGCCTCATCTTGGGTATCAAAGACCTCTTATGTCGTTCTTAGATGGTTAAGGTGAAACATGTGTTCCGCGAATAGAATTTTGCGGCTGACCATATAGCTTCCTTAGCTGCGGATGGTTTGTTGGGTACCACGTCTTTCACGATCTACCCGATGGGGGTATGGCAGTGGCTTCATCGTGATCTTATTGGCATGACCTATTTGCAAAATATTTGTGACTTAAACTCTTAGGCCTGAGCCTCTTTTTTGTAAAAAAATAAAAATAAAATAATAATAATAATAATAATAATAATAATAATAATAATAATAATAATAATAATAATAATAATAATAATAATAATAATATATTTCTTTTTTTGGTCGGTTAAGATTTATACAAAATGAAACGTTTTTTTTTTT